CAGATTTCCAACCAAAGCCTTGTGTTGAGCGTTATATAAATAGACTGCCCATAAATGCGTCCGATGCAGTAAGCAAGGTGTAAGCGCTTCTACGAGAGCCAGTGTGTGTCTTTCAGACACAGGCTTTTGACTTTGGAGAAGCTGAGTGAGGTCACAGCTTGTCAACACCAGCTCATGGATCTTACTCGGAGGCTGAGAAAAATACAACCAGTAATTAAAATCATGTTCTCCTTTAATAACAACAGCAACAAAACCCACTGACAATGCAATTCCACATGCCGCGTTTCATACAAAACTTTCCCCATGAGAGGCTTATTCTGGTAGGGGCACCATCGCATTTCATAACAAAAAAAGTTGCCTTTTCATATGGAACGCACATTAAGGGAACATCTGGGGCTTCCGCCACCATGTCAACATTGCCAGAAGCGTGGCTCCTCTTTTCTTATTTCTACATCAACCACCTGGAACATTTTACAAACCAGAGCCTGAACTCCATCAGAGAACATCTTAGAATCAGCCTAAAAGCTGGTAAACTTTGAGGTGGCAGTTAGCCCGAAAGGGGCTGGAAAAACAGACCAAGCAACCACCCAACAAATAAACAAACAAACTTAACTGTTTGTTCCTTAAATTTGATCTTCATACACTTGGGCACTCGGGGAACTACCGCTTTTCGGCATATCAGAAAGAGCCCTGAGTTCAGAGTCAAAAGGGGGGATTTCTTAGTTCTGGCTCTGCAAGTAGCCAGGCTGAGGGAGGCTGTGAGTAGTACATCACTCAGACCTTTCTTCCCTCAGTTTCCTCCTGCTCTGGGAGTGAGCTTAATGCTGGGTGTTCCTGTCAGGCTATTGTGAGCAGAGAATGAGATCAAGTAGGTCAAAGTGCTTTGCGGCAGTGAAAACATTACACACACACACACACACACACACACACACAACTGTAAGGGATTTGTATTATGGGAGGACTAGGGAATTCCCTTCCTTTCCTGGGACAGAAAGGAAGATATGAAAAATCCATGCCTGTTTTACCTGTAAGAAAGAATTAGAATCCACCTATTTATAACACTGATGATGAGACAGAAGACAGTTCAGTAACGAGAACCGTGGATGTGTCGTCATCCTTATTAGAAAATTAACATATGGTTTCACCATCCAGTAATGTGACTGATTTTTAAATAAACATATTTAAATGGGTGGGGTCCTGTCCTGAATAGTGAGTAGTCACCTTGGCAGGTGAAACACTTATTTAAATTATATGTCCCATCATTCCAAAAAAAAAATTTCTGTTTTTAACTCTTCTTTTGGAATTGTTCCTAGAGCCTCTGGCACATTCTTTCGAACATGTCTGAGGGTGACAAATTTTTGTCCTTTGTGGAAAATACTGATTTTTGTAAACAGTCCGAAGTTATTTGGCATGGAGTTTGGTAAACGGGCTAAGTAATGCCACTTTTTAAAGAACTGTGACTATAAGATAGGAAAACTTTCTTTCAGTTCCCACAGCAAGTTACAAATGGTTGGAGTTCCCTGGTGGTCCAGTGGTTAGGACTCCGTGCTTCCACTCTAGGGGGCACGGCTCAACCCCTGGTTGGGGAGCTGAGGTCTGCAAGCCAAGCAGCACAGCTAAAAAAAAAAAAAACAACAACAAATAGTAGATATCAGGAATCGACAGTATTGCTAGAAAGGATCCTTCATAAGGTGCCCACATTAGAGTAGAAAAGACATCTGGAAATGCAGTTCTACAATTTTAGTCACACCTTCATTATTTATCTAGCAAGACTGTTTGCCACTAGACTTAGAGTTTCCAGAAAGAAAAGAGCACTGCAACTAATTAACTGTTTAATCATTTTATCACAGCTCCTCTGGGCATCTGAACCCCTCATTTGCATATGGATTAACTGGCTAATACAGATGTTTCCAATGAATTCACATCTGGGTCTATTGAAAATGGAGTAGCCAGCCAATCCAATTCCAACCAGCAAACTCTATATTCCCTTAAAAAGTTCAGAATTTATTTTTGGTTATGAAACTATCTGAAAATTAGAATATCACTAATATCATTACAACGTAACCTGAAGCAACAGCTAGAGTGGATTTGCTTCTGGTGCAAATAATTTAAACTGTTAGCATTACTTTAAAATAATCATAATCAGGGAATTCACTGGCCGTCCAGTGGTTAGGACTCTGTGCTTTCACTGCCGAGGGCCCAGGTTCAATCCCTGGTCAGGGAACTAAGATTCCACAAGCTGCACGGCCCAAAAAAAAAAAAAACCCAAAAAACCATAATCACACTTTTATTCACTGAATATTGCACAATGTTAAATGAATCCAAAGACTTTTATGGAAACCATTGCTTTCCCAACTTCATTTTTTTTTTATTGTGGTGAAATTTACATAACATTAAATTCATCATTTGACCATTTTAAAGTGTACAATTTGGGGGCATTTAGTACATTCCCAATGTTTTGTGAATGAACCGTCACCGCTATCTAGTTCCTAAACATCTTCATCACCCCAAAAGGAAAGCCTATACCCATTAAGCAGTCACTCCCTGTTCTCCCCTCCCCCTGCCCCTGGCAACTACTAATCTGCTGTTTCTATGGATTTGTCTATTCTGGGCATTTCATATAAGTGGAGCCTTCCCTGTGTGGCCTTCTGTGACCGGCTTTTTCATGTAGCATAATGTTTTCAGGGTTCATCCACATTGTAGCATGTGTTAGTACCTCATTTGCTTTTATGACTGAATAATTGCGTTGCATGGGTGCACTACATTTTGTTTATCCATCCATCCATTGATGAATCTATGAGTTGTTCACCCCTTTGGGCTATTCTGAATAGTGCTGCCATGAACACAGGTGTACATTTTTTTCTTTGAACGCCTGTTTTCAATTCTTTTGGGTATATACCTAGGAGTGGAATTGCTGGGTCATATGGCAATTGTTATGTTTAACTTTCTGAGGAGCCACCAAACCTCTAGCTCATTTTAATGCTCATGTTTTCAAGGTGGCTTGATGACCAGACAGTTAGAAGCAGTTGGACAACTGCAGCCAGACTCCAGGCTGGGCCCAAAGAGGTCTCTTTTTTTCAGAAACACTGATTAGAGCAGCTGGGCTTGATCTGAGCCAAGCTTGTTCCAACAGAAGGTTACAGGCAGGGCTTGGAACAGCTTTCTCTGCTGGTCTACGTGTCACAACATGAACTGGCAGGGCGGGAATACCTTCCTGCCTCCTAGGGATCCTTGGTTCTCCAATTATGTTCCACACACTACTGGAAAAAGAAAAAAAGATGTTAACTAACTAACTGATAGGCTTCTCTCTTCCTGCTTTTGTAGAATTCAAATTAGCATCTGAAGTCCAGGTAGAAATGGGTGTTTGGGGGCCAATGCTATACCCCTGTCCTGGGCAGAGGTCTGTCCTTTCGTGGTTGGAGAACAGAACTTCCCAAACACTAGCTGAGGCTACAGAGACATCTTGCATCCCGGGTGGACTTTTACCATCTATTTTGCCTGGAAGGCATGGCCTAGTGATTCTGACCCTAGGGTCAGAATTACTGGAGTTGAACTGACCCTACTTTGTATATTGTAGCTTATCCACCCCTGTGGGCTTGGCCAGGCCAACAGGAGATAATCCTACTGTAGGTATTGTTTACTGCAGCCAATTTACTGAGTCATGCCCGGCCAGTAAACTGATTAGCACTGATTTTTAAATTTAAACGTGCTCATGAGCCTCTCAGACTGCTGACCTCCTTCTCACCTCAGTGCCTGACACAGAAGTTTCTGAGCCCCAGAAGCCCCAATCAAGGAGCATTAGGGCTGCACTGCCATAAACCGACCCAAATGCCTTTTTCCACTTGAAACTAGAACACTAAGAGAGAAGTTGGCTTCCGGGGTCCTTGCGATGCAGTCTCTCTGCCAAGCCAGCTGTCACTTGTCGCTTGTCTCCTGGCAGCCCTTCAGGTGTCCTGGCCTGAATCCGCTACTAAGATAGAAAAAAAGTCCCTCGGCTGGTCATATCCTCTGCAATCTGGCAGGAAACATAAAATGTGCCGGCTCTTGTCCTCGGTCTGTTTGCTTATCTGCTTCCTTCTAGGGAAGAGCCTGCATCACAGTGTCCGGTGAAGGGGGATTTTCACCATGACCTCACCCTCCGGCAGCTACCGTCCAGATTTCAGCGCGGCAGCTCGGGTGGGAACCCACATCAACGAAACATCAACAATCGCTCCTGGCACATCTCAGAGGAACGGCAAGGTCTGAGAATGACAAAGGGAGCTGCGGGTGGGGCTGGAGGAGGATGGATGACGTCTGGTCACAGTTCTGGGCTTGGGAAAGCAGGATGTCAAGGAACCCACATTAAGAAAATGCACCAAAAACTTTCCAAGCTCGCGCTCGCTGTTTGTATAACTTCGAACCAAAGACTTCGAAATTAGGTGACAGCCGGCGGCGGGGAGTAACCAGGAGTAAGAACGGCGGGAGCGGCTGGGGAGCCCAAAGGGCAGCGCCCGCGACCTGGTCTCCGGCCGCCCGGGCCATCGGAAGTAGCCCTTCTGCACCTAAGTGGGTGCAGCCAATTCAAGGGCAACCGAAAGTCCGGATCCCCAGGTGCCTGCCCCGGGCGGAGGCGTCCGGCCCCGATGGAGGTCACGTGACCACAAGACTCCGCCCAGCCGACACCTCCCAGCGCGCGCCCGGCGGCGGTCGCGGGCTCGCGAGAGAACGTGAGTCTCCGGCCC